GGGGGGGGGTATCGGCTAGTATCTAAGAAATAGTGCGTCTACTGTCTAGAATGTTGAATGTTTACAAACCCAGATACAGTACTGTAGTCAATCCTTTTCCCAGCAAAAATAGCGCCTTAGCAAGGCTGTACATTACTAAAATAGAAATTGAATACTTAGTAACTTATTTTGGTGGCATTATTAATGTTATTGGATATGCTTCATGTTACTCATCTTTGTAATCAGTTTTTAACACGATCCAATCAGGTTCCACCTCATATTAAACCTGGTCATAGGATAACTTGCATTAATGGATAAATCTCATCGGATAATTTTAGTGTTGCACACACCATTCACAGATACCGTTAGTTCAGTTGGCATCCAGATGGATGGTAACTAAAGCACACGTTTATAATGGACTACATCTGTGGGGGGGGGGTCCTATTAGGTTTCATGGGTAGTACACCATTGGATCATGCCCTCTGTGCGAGTTCATGACACTAATCTTTCACTCAAGTCTTGGTCTCCTAGTTGCAGAATTGTTCGTGAAATAAGGAGGGAACAGATTTGATCATCTCTACAAGCATTCAGGATGTTGAATGTATAGATTACACAATTATTTAAACAAAAATACAATTGTAGCTTTACAACAATGACTTTACTCATATTTACACAAATAATTTATATTTGGTCTTTTGCAGTTAAAGTATGTTATGAATATTTAATATTTTCTCTGATAGACGAAATTCTAGCTAAATAAATTCATGACACCATTTTCACTCCGGAATTAGCCAAATTACTTGCCCAGCTTATAATGGATACCTAAGCTGTATACAACACTGTATAAATCCAGAATTTGATTTATAGCAGGTTCATCTAAGTACTGAACCAAAGAACTTTTCAAGATCTTAACATCTGTTCCGTCTACCATCACAGATTTACTTCAAATATACTGCAATTTTATATTTTCCTAGTAGTGTTATTACCCAAATGTGCATATTGCAGAATCCTAAACAAGATTGACTACATACATGATACCATACAAGACAAATTAAAATTATCATCCAAGCTTTTTTCAAAACAAAAAAGTTTACCACAAGAAAAGTACATTCTGCAATCATACAAAAACACCTGTTACTGATATAACTGGTGCTAAATACTTATTTATACATTAAAATTCAACCCATGGGGTCTGAGGACCCAGAGCACCTATGAACCAACATTCATTGGTGGTTTGAGAGTTAGAACAATGATTAAAAAAAAATAAAAATAAGATAATTTGTATGCAAATTTGATATTTAGTATCCACAAATTTCAACCAGAAATAAATCAGTTCTACGAGTTAATCCTTTAGTATCTAGTATACAAACTTCTTTGAAATCAATCAAGT